GAAACCGGCATGCATGGCGTCCGTCTCCAAAGTCACGGAGTCTGTCTCGGCATGCTTCCTCTTGCCATAGTGATATCGCTTCTCTTTCTGTTTTTTCAATGCCCTCTCCCTCGCTGAGGACTCGTCCCAGTCGTAGTCGAAGGGGGTCTCGTTCAAAATCGCAAGCAGCAGCTTGTCGTCCACATCCATGTTTTCATGCTGAGCGATCTCGAATCCTGAACTTCATGTGTTCAAAAGGAGGCATGCAGACCAAGGTTACGATCGAGTGCATGCATGATCGACTCCTAGGATCCTATAGATATATATATGCATGTATATACATATACTATATATATCTAGTATCGATTTCTACATGCATGCCTGCATAGCAATGCAGAAAAGGTGCGGGTCATGAACCCGGCCAGGGTCCCCTCTGTGGTCTTCGTCTGTGTCTCGAAGGTCTTCGTCTTCTGTGCCCAAGCCTTTCCGAATTTATCCTGGTTCCAGCTGGCCAGCATCATCATTCTCTCGTGGTGCTGGTTCCGGCCGAGATTCCCGTACTCGTTGTAAAACTGAACCTTGGATTCCAAGGTCTCAAGCTCTTTCGGTGATAAGGAGAGTTTGCCCTCCTTGTACTCCTTGAGTTTTTTCAAGTTCGCTTTCCCCTGGGTTGACAAATTGCTCTGCATCTTCTTGACCTCGGCTGGATCCACACCATCCAGCGGGGCCTGCTCTGCCGGCTCAGTTTTCACTGGCATCTGCGGAACGGCCTTCGCCTTCGCCTTAGCCTTGGCCTTGGCTGCTTTCGGAGCCGCCTTTGTTGCCGTAGCTTTCTTAGGCGGCATGAATGCAATCGCCAGGCATGGGAAGCAAGTTGCCAGCCACGAAAGGAACATTGTGGCAACAAGAAGAGAAAACGGGAGCATTGAAATCGACTGGTGCGATCGATATATATCGCTCGAGCAAACTGCACCACGAAAGCAGGATGCAATATCGGTGGACAAAAGTTTGGGGTCGATCTTTAGGTGTGCATGGTTCGAATCTATATACAACAAGCCAAGAAAGACCAGAAGTTAAATTTAAGTTAAATTTAACTTCAATTTAACTTTAATTTAACTTGTTGGTTTTGATTGCGTACAATGTTTTAAGTTAAGTTAAATTCGAGTTAAATTGGAGTTAAATTTAACTCCAATTTAACTTTATATTTTTTCTAACAGCCTCCTATACTTTCGAGGAGGCGGGTAAAAACGAATATTAATGCACTCTACATATTCCATTAACAGTTTTTATAGCCCTTTAGGGGTTCAGGGGTATAGGGTTTAAGGTTTAGATTTCAGGGTTTGGGCCAGGCTGGGTCCAGGGTTTAAGGTTTTATGGGTATATACATATATAATACATATTTTGACATTATATATATATATAGAGATAGACATACATATGTCTTATGTATAGTTATACTATATATCTATATACATATATATACACATATACACTTACATATGCTTCTAGCATAGATGTGTGTATAATTAATTCATATATACAAACTCATAGTTGATTATGATTATACACATACATACATATATTCATACATAGAGACATATACATAATTAACATATACATACCTTACATACAATCATGATAACCTAAAGTAATTCACCTAAATTATATAGTGTATACACATGTACATGTACATGTCATGTGTAATCTCTGTATGCACATATACCTAGCACATACACAATATATACACAGGCATTATATATACATATATATATATATATAGACATACATCATATATGCTTATAGCATCCATGTGTCTATGCATGTATTTTTTATCTTTACAAACTCGATCAGAATCATACATATACATATACATATACATATATCACACATACATACATATGCATACATACATACATACATACACACATATCGATCTATATATATTTATATATGTATATATATATATATATATTACATACAATCATATCTTAAGCAATGTAAACACATATATTATAATGTCTACACATGTACATGTACATGACAATTTTAACATATATCTATAGTGTATATATATATATATATAGACAATATATATATATATATATAGATAGATAGATAGATAGATAGATAGATAGATATATTTGTACATCATGATGCAATCTACATATACATGCATACGTGCACATGTACACACACATATCTATATATATATATATATAGATATGTGTTAATATTGGCGGTCTCGATCCTAGGAAAGCTAGCAGCTAGCATCGAGGCCGGTCCACGACAAAGGAGAGCCACACGTGCAACCCTCCTCGATCGCGTGAGGAGCCCCGGTGGGCTCCTGAAGAACATGAACTGAAAAACAAAATTAATCGCCGTTACACAATTGGAGCCAGGTTGTAAAATAATACGTTGTGAGTCGTTGAACTCATATCACTCGATCTCTTGTGGAGGCTACCGAAAACCTCCAGAAGTACCTAGACAAAGCACATGCAGGAAACAAGTCCTCGATCCTCGCGACAAAATGTGAGCTGTCAGAGGCACCTGCACTGCAAGCCTTGAGGATCGTGATCTCCACGTCGATATCCTGAACAAAAGCACATCCAGAGCACTTCAAGTTTGCACGTGGTTTGGACCCAGGCCTTGCAGAAGTACTTGACATCGATCCTGAAGCCCAGCCTGCAAGCAGAACGAGGGTTTAGGGGTTGAAGGTTTAATTAGTACAGGCCTGCATTCGGGAGAACCACGATCGACTCGATCTTGATGGCCAGCCTGCAAGCACAAGCAGGGTTTAGGGGTTGAAGGTTTAAGGGGTACAGGCCTGCATGCATTCGCGAGAACGACGATCGACTCGATCTTGATGGCCAGCCTGCAAGCAGAACGAGGGTTTAGGGGTTGAAGGTTTAAGGGGTACAGGCCTGCATTCGCGAGAACGATCGATCGACTCGATCGCGATGGAGCCCACGGTACGATCGAGGTCCTGCATGCAAGGAGTTTCACACCGAGATCATGCAATGCAGACACTATATAGATCGAATGGCATGCCTTGCATGCACAATCGATCCATCTTTTTTTCATACTGCCCGGCCCGTGGATCTTCTCGATCTAGGACACAACGATCGGCTGCACGTCTGCACTGCCGGACGGGCCTGCATGATCACCGCCATCCATATCATCATCGTCATCTCCAGGAGGCGGCTTCCACAGGCAGATCGCCGTGCACAAAACCGGGTCCTCCTCGTCCTCCTCCTCCTCTTCGTCGGGTTCCTCGCCACGATTGCGATAGCCCCATGCGTTCCAGGAGGATTTGGTTCGCTTGCAATGTTCTGCCCACCATGCCTTCCTCTTTAATCCCCTGTTCTTCTTCTTCTTTGGGTGCAGGCGATAGTACTCCATGTACTCGGCCGCTTTCTTGGGATTTGAAGGCGGCTGGCCGGCCCAGTTCTTGGCCACGTACGTTCAGGTCCGGCACACCCATGAAGGACAACTGCCAGGGTTTAGGGTTGGAGGTTTAGGGGTTCATAAGGGTTCGGGTTTAGGGTTTTGGGGTTATATAAAACAATGTTAAACTCATCCAAGTGGCCCGGCATCGGACATTGAGACAAATCCGTTCGCGAAAGTAGGCGAGCTCCCCACAAACAGTGCATCTGCGAACGTATGACCCGTATGGAGTCGGCTCTTCTGTGGTTGGTGCCGGCGGTGCCGTCGGTGGCGGCAATGGCGGTGGCGTCGGTGGGAACTCCGGCGTCGGGAGATCGCCGAGCTCCTGGTCACCTTCCTCACGAGGACCATCCGGATTGGCGGCCTCCAAGAACTCGCGGGCCACCGACTGGTGAGCACCCATGATCAAGCGATTGCGATCTTGCAGGATGCTTTTCGTCCCTTAAGCAAGAAGGCTGCGAAAACATGGGTGAGGAGCTGCAGCCTGCGTGATAGCATGCATGCAGCTACCTTGACCGCGATCCATTACTCTCGAATGGTCCTTGCAGAAGGAGAGCACGATGGCCCTCGCTGTTAACGTCGTCAAGGAGAGTATGTACCCTCCTGCGATGCAGAATTTAAAGTGCATCTTATTATATAGAAGGTTATTATTTGTGTATATATATATATATATATATTTGTATGATATTGCCAAAAGAAGCAGTGCCTACAGCACCTCGAAGATGGAGAGCCTGCCCTCGAGGTCGAGGATCTGCCATGGTTGATCCTGCAGGTATACACACGTGAATAGGGTCAAGGTTATTGTCGACTGCAGAATTTAATGCCGGAGTCCTTGTACAAGATCCTGCCATGGCGACGATCGATTATGGACCGATCGGCAACAAAAAGCTCTACGAAACATGTCATGCCTAGCGAGCATGAAAAATCGAGCAGGGCACGGCAAAGTAAC